TAGAAAAAGAGCGGATTTAACTTTAACTAAACCGATTGACATATGCAGAGCTAAAGAAGTTGCAAATGCAGAAATGAAACAAATTACATACGAAAAAGATATTGACGTTGTAAAGGAATTCATAAATCCAAGACAAGCAAATGCGTCAATCGAACAAATACCAAAATGGAGAAAGTTCTCGAATAACGAAAATGAGTCAAAAAGCAAAGACCGGGTTGAACCAAACAAACAAAACTGGAAACAAATCATTAATAGCTCAAATAAAAAACAACATCAAAGACAATGCAAGAAATGCAACAGAAAACGTGAACCAAGAAAGTGTCTTGCATTCGGTCAAACGTGCCGTAAATGTAATAAAATAAATCATTGGGTAACTTGCTGCAACCCGAAAAACATACACGAAAATTTCGCTGAAGATTTGATACTTTTTAAAATTAATAATAAATTGGTACGTGGAAAAATTGACACTGGAGGTGAAGTTGATGTTATGCCAAAAAGAGTCTACGACCAATTAACATCACGTGATAATCTCACTTATACAAATGTTAAACTACGTGTTTATGAAGGAAATCATATTCCAGTGCTTGGAACATCAAATATGATGTGTTACTACAGAAGTAGTAAAAAATTGGTTAAATTCTATGTAGTTGAAACCACAAGCAAACTCGTTCTTAGCTTACAAACTTCACAAGACTTAAAAGCGATCAGACTACTAGATGAAGTAAAAACTGTAGACACGAAGTCGCAGCAAAAAGAAATATCTACTCTAAACAAAGTAAAACGGATTGAAGGAAAACAAGGAAAAGAATTAAAAGAAGAAATACTAAAAATGTATACGAAATTATTCAACGGATTAGGCTTGATTGGACCTGAACATCACATCGTGTTGAAGAATGACTTAAATCCTGTTATTCATCCACCAAGAAAAACTCCTGTTACCTTGAGAGAAAAAATAAAAACAGAATTGGATGAAATGGAAAAAACAGGAGTAATAACAAGAGTAGATGAACCAACAGAATTGGTAAATTCGCTAGTGGTTGTGGAAAAACCAAATGGACAACTAAGACTCTGTCTGGATCCAAGAGACTTAAATAAAGCTATAAAAAGAGAACACTATCAATTACCTATTTTTGAAGAAATATCAACTAGACTTTATGGTGCAAATAATGTCACAAAACTAAATACAAATAAAGGTTATTGGCAAATTCCACTGGATAAAGATAGCTTTATGTAAACCACGATGAATACACCATTTGGAAGATTTAAATTCACACGTTTACCTTATGGTATAAATTCGGCTCAGGAAGTATTTCATAAAAGAATTAGTCAATGTTTTGATGATCTTTATTTTGTGGAAACTGATATTGATGATATTCTGATATGGGGCACAAAAGTGTCACGATGAAAATCTAATAAAATGCCTAGATCGAGCTGAAAAAATGGGAATGACCCTAAATTTTGAAAAATGCCGATTTCGAACACAAGAGTTGATATACTTAGGACACAAAGTATCAATAAACGGAGTACAACCAGATGAATCAAAAATTAAAGCCATCAATGAAATGCCAAAACCTAAAGATAAAAAAGTAGTTCAAAGATTTCTAGGTATGGTAAACTATGTTGGTAAATTTTTTTTGTAAATGCAATGCATTTTAGTGAAGCTGCACCGAGCAGTGTACGCCTTAGGGATGAATAATAAGTTAAAAAGAGTTTAGCAGAGTGAGATAAAAGTGCAAAAGGACAGATGTCCAGAGGAAAACAAAGAGCCTCAAAGTGGAAAAATATTAAAAACTGATATGAGTAAAGTGTAGTAAAAAGTAAATAAGAAAAATAAACAACAATCAAGGAAAGTCATTAGTTGTTGTGCTACTAATTTGTTGTTAGAGTCCAGCGTAAATGTGATTTGTAGATAGAATTGGTAATGGAGTAGAATTATTCGTTTTATAAGTAGTCACCATGTGGTATGTGTTATTAGGATGATAAACATACATTATATATATAAGTGAAGACCTCCATAAAGACCTCCAGCTTTCATCCGAAACTGGTATCCCAAAAGAAGTTCCACTCTGGGTCTACACCAGGGTATCTTTTTAAAGGTATCCCATTGTGTTATCCCAAAAGGACTATTCTCAGAGTATCCAGTCAGGACGATTGCCACAGACTCCTGAATTGACACTGAGACCAGAGGACACTTAGCGGGGTTTAGTTCAACTTGCAAACAATAGTAAGTAGTTTTTTAACATGAGTGTCTATTAAGTGCAGTGTTTTTTCAAAGTGTAGCATGGGTTAATGAGAGTTGTGAATTGTTTTGAGTTCATTTAGGTATGTGTAATGTAAATAGATATTGTGTTTTATGTGTGTAACTATTGTAGTAGCATGTCTCAATAGTAAGAGTTATTAGTATAAAAAGTAGTTAAAAGGTCCTTTAAGTTGGTGTAACGTCAGCTAGGCGTATGTTTACGCTCAAAGATATTACGTTAAATGTAGTAGCAAACTACATAACAAATGGATGGCCGCAGGATAAAAGAAAGGTTGAAGACTCAGTAAAACCCTATTGGTTGGTTAAAGAGGAACTGACACTCACAGAAGGAATAATTTTCAAAGGACAAAGAATTTTATTTCCAACATTAATGCGAAAAGCAACAATTCAAAAACTACATCTAGCACACATGGGGATTGAAAAAGCTAAAATGAGAGCAAGAGAAACTGTATTTTGGCCAGGCATTAACAAACAAATTGAAGATTTACCAAAGTCGTGTGAAACATGTCTGGAATACACAAAAAAACAAACTAAGGAGTTAATGATACCAAGCAAAATACCAAATTACCCGTTTCAAATTGTGGGAACGGACTTATTTCACTGGAATAATCAGGATTTTATAATAGTTGTCGACTATTATAGTCGTTATTGGGAAATCGAAAGGTTACATAACATTCAATCTCAAACGGTGATAAAGAAACTAAAAATGATCTTCTCTAGACTTGGTATACTGCAGATAGTACGGAGCGACAACGGCACACAATTCACATCTTCCTGAATTCCAAAAATTCAGTAAAAGTGGGAGTTTAAACATATAGTATATATATATATATATATATATATATATATATATATATATATATATATATATATATATATATATATATATATATATATATATATATATATATATATATATATATATATATATATTTATATATATACTAGTAGCCCTCAGTATCAGCAATCAAATGGAATGGCTGAGAGACACGTGCAAATAGCAAAAAACTTGCTAAACAAAGCAAAAAGGTCAAATCAAGATCTGTACATAGCTCTACTAGAAGTAAAAAACACTCCTGTTGGCGGTCTTGCAACAACTGCTCAGCTCATAAGTGAAAGAAGATTGAGATCAACACTTCCTACTTTTCTGTCACTACTTCAAGTAAATCCAATCGATGTAAATAAATTTAAGAAGAATCGTGAAAAAGTTCAAAACTTACAGAAGAAATATTATGACAAAAACGCAAAAATATTGAAAAACGTAAGCGATGGAGACTGTGTTCGTATACATGATGAAAATAAATGGCAACCAGGAAAAATTGTTGAGAGCAAACAGCAACGAAGTTTTCATGTAAAAACCCTAAATGGAAATATTGTTAGAAGAAACAGAAGACATCTACTAAAAACAAAAAAAGAAGTAGATTGGGATGTAAATTTATCCGACAATGAAAGCGATATGAATGAATCAAAAGACATATTCATTGGTAAAAGGAAACTGTCGAATAACGCAAACATTGATACAAATACAAATCAAAATGAATCATTAGACCTTGACATTGTCACGCGATCAGGAAGAATTTCAAGGAAGCCAAAACATTACATTGATTACGAAACGCATTTTTAAAAGAAGGAAGGCGTAATGATTATTACACAAAAAAATTCAGTATAGCAATTAGCGATTGCAAAACAAACAATTCCCTTTTGCGAATTGCACAAAAACTTATAACGAAAGTATTCCCTTGAGAGAATTCCGCAAGAGGAATTCTCGCTTAAAAGCCAGTGCGCTGAATTTAATGACAGTTGAAGTTTCAACGCGAAACTATACAGAGTTTTATATTTAAACCAGTTGTGATAATTTTATATGAAAATATTGAAATAAATATTCAATAAAATCATAGTTGAATTCTCTTTATAATAAATATAAATACATAACAGTACATAAAGTAACATATAACAATTGTTTAAAAAGGAAACAAATGTTTTTTGTTTAACAAAGGTTGCAAGTTTTATTTTTATCTAAGCTAAATTATTTTATAAATATAAAAGTTAATTTTTATAATACCTTTTTTATGTTTCGCGTAATTTGAAAATTTTAACATATTTGAAATAATTCTTATTAGTAAGATAAACAAATGAAACATTTAAATCATTGAATTACTACAGAAATTAAATAAACTAGATAGAAACCAACTAAAGAGGTTAAATATACTTTATGACTGATCTATGTATTTATGCCTGTATGCATGTATGTATGTATTTATGCATTTATTTGTGCATGTATGTACCTATCTTTGTGTAAAATATATATACATATATTTTCATAAAATCGTTTAATTAGTTTTAAAATTAAAAGAAAAACAAAAATTAGGTGTTCTTATTTTAAATTACATTTTAATATTGCAATCTTCTGAATAAAATAGAAATGAACTTGTTGTTATTTATATCTATACTTTAAAAGATTTTAGTTATTCTATAAAAGACTTTTTCTAGATTTATAATTTAAAATACACGGGTCACACATTAATTTATTATACTTTTTTTAACTTATATTATCATAATATTAATTTTTCAAACAATTACGCAATTATTTAGGAATTTTTATTTGACCTAGCTTCGATGAATATAACAAATAGAAATTAGTTAAATATTACAAAAAAAAATAAAAATTGTTTGACATTTAGTTTTGTTTCAAAATAATTTTTTTTAGCTCTAGTTTTATGGTTAAATTATAAAAACTTACAAATTGATCGTTGTATTTGACTTGAGACTTCAGATTCTTTACAAGTGGAGCTAACCACCATATTTGAACCAGAACTTACCCCAGATTTAGAACAAACGAATTTATTACTGCATTTGTGCAACAGACTTCCTGTTTTTGGATTAAAAATAAACTTTGATACATCATTTTTACAATACTCAGATAAAGTAGGGCGGAAAACAAGAACAGTATTGTCAGGAACCAAACAGTCTCCAGTTTTAGGTTCAATACAAAATTGATCATCAGAAGTTGTTATTTGTGTAGCTTAAAAATTTTAAATAAGAATTGTACAAAATATATTATGAGCATTCATTATTATGAACCAGTAAAAATAAAAATGTTCATTAGTGTAATAAAATCATCATCATCATCATCATCATCATCATCATCATCATCATCATCATCATCATCATCATCATCATCATCATCATCATCATCATCATCATCATCATCATCATCATCATCATCATCATCATCATCATCATCATCACATCATCATCATCATCATCATCATCATCATCAGCATCATCATCAGCATCATCATCATCATCATCATCATCATCATCATCATCATCATCATCATCATCATTATCATTATCATCATTACCATCACCGCAAGAAGTTTTAAAAAAATTAGTTAAGGTTATATATACGGGCAATTAAAGTTAATATTTGTTTTTGTTTTCCATATTTAAATGGCATATATCACAGTACTCAGGATGGATGTTTCACCAACTGATTCAATTACATCACAAGATAACAAAAATTACCAACATACTCTTTCCACTACTATTTATTTCAATCTTATTTTTGAATAATTCAAGAAACTTTACATAAACTACAAAACGAAAATAAACAATATTGATCACAAACTGTACTAGCAGTGTTTGCTATAGCTTCTTTCCTAATTCTCATGCTTAGTATTAACTCTTCTGACTCTGCAATCATGTATTAATCATCTACATTGTTATATTGATGTTTTTGCATGATAAAGCTTTTATTGTATTATTCAAATTTTTTTTTATCCAATTCACTCTAAACAAAGCTGCAAGCAACCACTATTTACTTATGAGTTTATAGAAAACAAAAAATAGAACTAAAAAGCAAGAAAATAATTTACAGAAGACTTGGAAAAATGCATATTGAGTCAGGAAAAGATGAAGATGGCAAAATATTCAAAAACATTTAAGTGGGGAAATAAAATTACACTGATAAAAGCTTTAATAAACTGCAAAGTGTAATAAGCTTATACATTACAGAGGTGGCGTTAGGTTACTTAAAATTGTAAATAAATATGACAAACTTAAAAATTAGACAGGTGACATTATAATATTTTAAATTGTAAATAAATGTGATACTTATCAATATAAGAGGTGATCTTAAATAAAATGTTTCAATAAGTTCCAAGTTTTGAATAAGGGGATTCTTTTAATTGTACTTTGCAATCCTTTAAATGAATTCTCCCAGAATTCATTTAAAGGATTGCAAAGTACAGAAAATGTAAATTTGATTTTCTGTAGTGCATTCAAGATTAAAGTGCTTTTGAGTAAATTTAGAAATAAAAGAAATTTATGTAAATTTATAAATAAAGAAGCTATGAAGACATTCATAACCAGTGAATATATCAAACATAAATAAAGAATATAAAACCTTCAGTAAGTTTCACTTGAAAAAAAAACCTTTCAAATGTTAAGTTAATTTAAATTTTTAAGTTTAAATAAAGTTTTTTTAACTAATCATACTTATGTTGGACGCTAATTTACTTGGGCAAGGCATATTATTGCATGTTTGCTCAGAATTAGAATCACCATTGCACTTTTTACCACCATACTTTGGTGCAGGATCAGAACAAAAACGATATCTTTTTTGTATGCCTCCATTGCAATCTTTGGAACACTTTGTATAATTTGACCACTCACTCCATTTACCATCAATTGGTTTGAGTTCTAGGTAAAAATGATTAAAAGATAAAATTAGTAAAAAAATGTTTTAAAAACTTTATTGATTGAGAAAATCAAAAAAATTTAGATTACTCGTTAAACAATTGTCTTTTTGACTATAACCGTTGTTGCAAACACATGTGCCATTTAATGTGCAAGCCTGAAAAATATAGTTTAATCTAAATAATAAATCAATATAAATAAAAAAGCGCAAAGAACTAAGTTAAAAATTAAAAAAAATTATACACAAATGACAGATTGCTGTGACTCCTAAATTAAATTATGTTAATTGTGGCCAAGGATGAAATTATTTTAGTTTTACCTATGTCGTGTTTCACAACTGATGTTGCAATGTCCTCAACTAATGTTGTTGTGATGTTGTTATGTCTATTTTTAATATTTATTAAAAATAGACATAAAAACTTTGTAATTTTTATATTATTATTTATTTTTTAATTATTATAATACTTTTTTTACAGTGAATTTGCATAATCACATCTGAGAATTAAATTCTTTTAGTTTAACTAAACTAATTTCAGTTTTTTAATTTTCATTCAAACAAAACTTTTCATATATATTTTTTTTCGCATATTTTTCTATTACATTATTTGTTTACAATTTTTTATATTACATTTTTTCAAATCTATTTTAATACCAAATATGAAAGATTTTATTAAATCTATTTCAAATCCAAAACTCTTATGATTGGTATATATGCTTCAACTATATAATTCTTTTATATATACATTTCTATATAGTCTGAATTCTAACTTACATTTCTATATAGTCTGAATTTTAATATAGCTTCCAAATCTTAACTTAAGCTAATAATAATGTTGATACCAGAGATTAGAAACATTAACAAAAAATAAATACGTTAAGCATTAAATAAATTGTTTAATTTTAACAAATTTTATACTCCATTTCCAGAACATTTTTTTCCAGCATTCATTGGGCATTTAAAGCCATGTTCGTTAGCAGACCCGCATTTTTCATTGACGCAAAACTAAAGTAAAAATTGGCAAACTAATTTAAAAAACTTAAAAAATGACTGGAAAAAAAACAAATTTTTGTAAAGAAAAAAATGAACCTTGTTCTTTGCACACAATGTACCATCTAAAACAAAGCAAAAGTTTTTAAGATTATACATACATACATATATATATATATATATATATATATATATATATATATATATATATATATATATATATATATATATATATATATATATATATATATTATATATATATATATATATATATATATATATATATATATATATATATATATATATATATATATATATATATATATATATATATATATATATATATTAGAGAGGTACTCGGTTCTAATCCAGAGACCCCGTACTTTGGTGGTTTTACCGGGTACCCCTTAAAATGGTAATTTTTCTATGTACCCGCCACTGGGTATATTAAAAAATATTTTTAACAGACATGAGCTTTTTTTTCTTTTCATTTACATTTTTACAACTATATATTAATTAGAATTTTTTCACATTGTAGTATTAGCAAATATACTTCCATTACAAAAAGTTACATTTAACCAAATACTTCTAAAAATACATTTCACATAAAAAATAACACTTACTTAAAAAAAAAAACACAATTAATAAAACAAAATTTAGGTATCGTCAGTTAAATATATTATAATGGACTTGTTAAGATAGACTACATTTTTAAAGGCACTCTAAGAAGACTGAAGTCTTATCATCGAAAACCTTGGGGTATTACGCAAGATACAAATAAACATTTTGATTCTTATGCACAAATATTCCAAGTATATTGTGATAAAATTTTGTTTTCTTTGTTCTAGTGGTATTATGATTTATATGTTTGTATTTTTTTTTTCTCTTTTAAAATTTATATATATATATATATATATATATATATATATATATATATATATATATATATATATATATATATATATATATATATATATATATATATATATATATATGTATATATATATATATATATATATATATATATATATATATATATATATATATATATATATATATATATATACATACATATATATATATATATATATATATATATATATATATATATATATATATATATATATATATATATATATATATATATATATATATATATCCACAAATAGGGGTCGCGATATGAGCTAAAGAATTGAGACTTATTTGTTTTTTTGGGGGTTACGATAAAGTTACCTGTTGCTTTAGTGTTAAACATATAGGTAGTTGAATGAAAGAGGTTTTCTTTAAATCGTGAAGAAAATAAGCCCATTTTATATTTTAGCATTAATAGCATATTAGCATTGATATCCATTTGATAAATGTTTAACACATTCATTTTTTTTAAAAGAGGTTTAGCATGTGTATGTTTGCTTTTACATTATATATTATTCAAGATACATGTTTCTGTAGTCGATTAAGAGACATTAGTTTTGTTTTGTGTCATCTTTTAGTCATCTTACATACACTTTTCAGTGTATGTAAGATATTTTGTTATAAACAAAAAGTAAAGAATTTTCAAGTTATTTTGTGATAAAAAAATGGTTTAGCTTTGAAAAGTAAACCAAGAGTTTTAGATATTTGAGCATTGATGGCTTTTATTTGGGCTGTCCATGAAACCTTTTCGTAAATAAACACTCAAAAAAATTAAATTGTTTGGGTTCTTTCAATATTGTTGAAACCGATGCTTCAGGAAGGAAGTCTTGATGGAAGTTTTTTTTTGTTGCTTTGAATGAGATGAAATATATTTAGTTTTTTAAACATTTATTATTAACTTATTAGCATTGAATCATGTTTTAGGTTTTTAAAGCTCAAGGTTGATTTTGTCGAAAAGGTCGTTGATAGATGAAGGTGAATAAAACAGATTTGTATAAATCGCAAACATTATGCAATCAAGATTTGTAGAGGCTTTAGGAAGGTCATTAATATATATAAGGAACAACAAGGGGGCAAGCATTGATCACTGTAAAACATTGCACTTTATTTTTAATAGCTTTGAATTTGAAATATTGTTGATTATAACGAATTGTTGTCAATTATTTTAATAACTAATGAATCATTAAATAGTTTTGTTTTTTTACCATATTTTTCACTTTTTCAAACAAAATTTAATGGTTGAAGGTATCGAAAGCTTTTGTAAGGTCAATAAAGACTCCTAATATAAACTGTCTTTTATCAAAAGATGATCTGATGTTGTTTGTGAGGTCAATGATTGCATGTTTCGTTGAATAATTCCTTAAAAAACCGTACTGATATTCACTTAAAATTTTGTTTTCTGTTAAACATTTATAGAGTCTATTGAAGATTATTTGTTTTAGAAGCTTGGAGAATACTGGAAGAATTGAGATATGTCTCGATTCTTGTAATTGGATAGTGATACCGTGTCTCCAGTTTAAAGTATTGGTAAAATTTTAAAGTGCTGTTATTATTAAATAATAAAAATAATAAAACAAATTTTGTTTTAACGTAACTTTAAATTGTGTAGAATTTTTATTAACCAGATAAAAAATAGTGCTTTGACCAAAAAACTTCTTGATAGTTTCAGAAGTTGATAATTCCTATGTAAATTTAGATGCGACTCATTTAAGTTACATAAAGTAAAACAAAATAATATGAGAATAAGAAAAGAAATAAAAACAAAGAAAGAAAAAAAAGAAAAAAAAAATAAAAAAGAAAGAAAAAAAAAAACAAGCAGTTGCTTCCTTTTATTGCTTAGAACACAAGAAAAAGATAGAGCATGTTTAAATAAAGTTTTTCCTAAATGAATAATATATAAATTTAGACCCAATTTTCAAAGTGGGAGGCATACTACTTCATTTTGAAAATAGTTCCTCAATTCTTATAAAAATTGTCAGTTTCTTTTAAAAACATGTCCGAAGGTATACACAAAAAAAAGTAAGGGAGGAACCTGCTCCTTCTAAAATGAGAGCAAGCACACTCCCTCTTGTTCTTGAGTGGAACAATCTATCGCTGCATCACGGCTTTTAAAACAAAGAAAAATTGCAAAATTTTAAAAGGTTTTAATTATTTTTAAAAGTATAAATTCTTTTTCAAATAAAGTTTTTCAATCAAATATTGTTGGAAAAATTATTTGATCGTCTACTTTTTAGTTATTTCGAATACTGAGAATGTTTTTCATTTGTCATAAACAAAAAATCATAAAAGAAATTAAAATGAAATACAGCAAAAAAATGTTTAAAGTAATTTTGATCAAAAAATTTTTTATCTTAACTTTTGTTAATGGACTCGGACCCGCTTTTAACCGGCAGGTACTTGGAATGGGAGACTCAACATTATATAAAACTAAGATCTATAAATCAAAATTAAAGTGGACTGTTTATTTCAATGCAGTTTTCAAGTAAAAATAAAATTTTAAAACTTGATATATGATTAAAATAATTCAAGAATTTGAATCATTTTAACACAATTTGAAGTTATATATATATTTAATAAACAAAAATAAGTTCAATTGTGACAAATAGTCCACTATAGTTTTAATATTTCCAAAATTTTAATTTTTATAGAACTAATATTTGTTTATTAAATAAAATTAAAACGTTTGTCAAACAACACGTTTATGTGGAGTGTCAGATTCAAATCCTAACATTAGCACTTTTTTTTAGCAACTGCTCATTAAACAACTGATCAATCGAGTTTATATATGTAATTGAAATAAAAAATCATTTTATAAACTCGTATACCAATTGCAATTATTCAAAACTTTTCAAGCAAGTTCTCTAAATAAACAAAGTGCTTTATTGCAATGCTTCTATTTTAATATAATATAACAGTAAACAAAAATGAGATAATCAATTGTAAAAAATCAACTTATATACATTTTATACAGGATCATGTGTAATATAGGCAGGGGCGGACTTTTGCTTGAAATAGGCATGGGAATATTACATTTGTACGAGCTACATCAAAAAAAAAGAAAGTATAGAAATGGGTTAAAAATAATGTAAACCTGAAAAATTAATCAAAATCTTATTAGATAGATTTTGAGAAGAAAAACATGGATAGCAAAACTATTTGAAAAAAAAACCAAAAGCAAAGTCAATATAATACTCCACCTGGAAAAAACAACAAACAAAAATTTTTTTATTGATTTTTAAAATGAAAGAGCTTCTTTCGCATGCAACTTGCGTGAATAAAAGTGACAAAATATATTTATATGTTAAACCAATTCTTGTATATGCTGTATTTACTAAATTGTACTGAATCAAAACCAGGCAACAGCAAGTGTTGCAATTTATGCAGGCAACACATGACTTACGAAACATAACTTACGAAACATAACTTACGAAAATTATTACCATATTCTTTAACATTTTCTGAATTTTCTATTGCTATGTGATATGCACTCAAAACGGAGTTTTCAATGCTATCTCAGTTCAAAATAAATCTAGTAAGCACTGTACATAAGTTTTCTACAGTTGCTTGTTCATCAAATGGCATTAGATGTTCGCTGAATTTTTCACAAGCGCTAGTTGGTACATTTTGATTTTTTAAATGTTCAAAGTTTTTAGGGCTTAAAAGAGTGAAATCAGCATAAAACTCTTGACTTACTTGAAAGTGTTTGCTCATGCTTTCTGTTATGGTTTTCTATATTACGTTATGACCATTTACTATATAAAAAGTTAGAATATCAAGAGAAAGTTCAGGTTGGCTAGGACCATCTTCATCAGGAAATAGGTTTTACTTTTGGATTCTATTTTCTGGCAGAGTATTTTCTGCTTACAAATCATGTAAATCAAATTTTTCATTAACTTAACAAACAAAATTATTCGTAACTGCAAAGTATCGTTTTATCAACTTTACTAATAAAATTATTCGTAACTGCCAATACAGTATCAAAATCTGTAGAATAAGTTTTTAGTTTTTCTGTAGTTTTTGTTACCATCTTATAAGCAATCAAATTGTTCATATTAACGGTTTGCAAATGTTTTGACAGTAGTGTTGTTAACTGAATAGTATGTAAATATATCTGTGCAGTAAAAATTGTTTCATATTTCAGGAGTCCATCTTTGAAGCCTACTGTCTTTACACAAACATCAGGTATAAAAATTAAATAGTGTCTAATGTTAAACAATGGAAATACAAGTCTAACATATAAACCAGAATCTAGATTTGCAAATTTGCTAAATGATTTTGTAAGTGCAGCATCTTTTGACTACCATGATCATCAACATGTTTCACTAATTGTTGAAACCCTGCCGTGGTGTTAGTGATTTTGATTTTCTTTCAAAAAAATGCCCATTCTCTGATATAAACCACAAATAAAAACTGCTATGCCATTCCTTAAATTAAACAGTGAAATACTAGAAAGTACGGTAATACGAATATCTGACATAACCAAATTAAAAACTCAAGCTGCGAATCTTTTGTATTCTCCATTTATGTTAGCAGCTCCGTCGGTTGCATTATCAACGTACTTTAATATATCAATGTTCAATGTACGCAGAGTTTGCGACAATATACTTGATACACATTCTATAAAAGAAGATTCACATGCAACCAATGGTAATAGCCTTTTGTAAAACTGGTCGGTTACACATCTAAGTTTTTACAAAACAATTACAATAAGACAAACTGCTGATTTACACTGATAATTGTTGTCTTCAAAGTAACTTCTCTTCGGTTAAGTCAATTTTCTTGCAAAGTTCACCGGACCTATTTGCTCATTGTGAGACGGATTTGTCTGAAATTTTTCAACTTATGATCTTATTATTGATGAAAGTTTTCAATCAAATTGTTAAAACTCGCATCAGTCACATGCATTGTCTAGACGTTTATATTTGTAAGAATTGACCCAATTTTGCGGAAACTAGATTTAAATCCACACATTAATCTTTGATGTGCTTAAATTTAGCAGTATTTCACTCTATTACTTTCTTCTCAAGACTGCACTCTTTTCAATGTTGTTTCTGATTAAATTGACCAAGTGTTTTCACTTTTTTTATCAATGATATCATTGTTGTTGGTAACTTTAATGTTTATAACACTAAATGGCTCAACTTTATTGCCAGTGATTCTGCAGGTGCTAAACCCCACAACTTTTGTCTTTCATATTCTCTAAAACAAACAGTCAACTCTGCAACTCGCTTTCCAGCAATCTACATTATTTACCTTCTCTACTTCACTTATATCCTATTTCTGATCCTAGTAAGTGTTTAGTTGCTCCAAATTCACCCTTAATTGGTTTTAATCACAGTTTGATCTTTCTAAAACAAATATCTTTCTCTTTTTTATCAATAAAATTCCCCTAGCATCTCTTACAACTACTTTGAAGCTAAATGGAAGTCTTTCAACAAAATTTTTATGATAATTGATAAGAACTTTTTATTAATCTCATTTCTTGATTCCATTAACATCCTATCTGATACCACCCACATACAGATTGATCTATGGCTTAGCGTTTGTATCACTTCAATTGCTATATCTAAAGTGATTTCCTGCTTAGTCTATTCTACAGCATGTGGTACGAACAACATACATGTTACAGTTTTGAAGAAGTGCTATCCAAAGTTGTTGTCTTTAATTTTAAATCGGTTTAACAAGTGCCTACCAGAGCGTTGTTTTCCAGTCTACTTGAAAACATTTGTTATCCCTATATTTAAAATTTAGGAGAACGACTTGACTCGTCTAACTACCATACCCTTAGTCTTCTTCCTATCATTAGCAAGTTTTTTGAGTCTTTAATTAACAAACTCCTAATCTCTCATCTAAAAATTGAAAATAATCTGATCATCAATATGGATTAAAAACTTTTTGTTTTACTGCTGATTTGTTTATTGTAAGAAAGGATTGATTTTATCCTGTATTAGTTAAATGTGGATAGTAAGGAGCTTTCATTCTCAATATTTCTACAGTCTTTGATAAAGGTTGGTATACTGGTCTCCTACATAAGCTCTATTCTTACAGTGTATCAGCTAATATCTTTAAGATTATTGAATCCTTTCTCACTAATTATAGCATAAAAGTTATTCTTGATGGACAGCACTCTTATTTATTT